GGATTTCAATTTGGTAATCATAACTTTTGTGATAATTTTGTAGCTAACGTTGCAAAGACTTATTGGGCGATAATTATTGACCATCTCTGAGTTTTCCATCTTCGGTCAATGTTCGTATGGTTAATTAACTTAAGGCTAGTATTATTTGCAAAAAAAAAATCTTTTACCATGTTACACATTGAGGGTTCAACCAGCTCCTAACACTCCTGATAAAACCTAGCATGGATACCATCTGGTTTTGGGGCTTTAAGAGCACCAATACTCTTGACAATATTCCAGATCTTATCATTTGAAAGAATAGCAGTTAACATGATATTTTGATCATTTGATATACACGGATCAATAGCTTGAGAGACCAAACTAAGGTGGTCATTGGTAGGATTGTGACCTTTAGTGAACTGCATTTTAAACTCATGCACAAACATTTGTTCCATGCCCTCTCCTCTAGCTTACCAAGGGCCATTACCATCCCTAATCTTGTTGATTTCATTATGCTTCTTCCTTATCATAGCACTCAGTTGGAAAAATCTTGTATTTTTATCTCCATATTTTAGCCAATTGGCTTTAGCTTTTTTAGCCCCCATTAGATCTTCCTCCTTAAGAACTTTAGTAATTTGCTCATTTATATGAGCCTCTAATTGGATTTTATCAAGAAGAGTATTTGTAACATTTGAATTGTCATTAAAAGACATAATTTCCTGTTGAACTCGGTCAAGATCATTTAAAATGTTTTCTTTTCTTTCTTTGACCAAACCAAAAACCACACGGTTCTAATTTTTAACAAGGAAGGAGAACTTACCTAAGCAACCCCTAAAATGATCTATAGGAGACATCCTTTCACTGCAACTCCAAGCACCCTTCACAAAACTTTTAAAGTCCGGATGTAAGTTCCACATGGCCTTAAACTTGAAAGCCCTCTTCGTTGCCTAATTTGAGAGCTGATAGTGTCCAATAAAAGAGGACTATGATCTGAACCCAGGATAGGATGATTATCGAGGGAGTAGTTTGGGTGCATTTCAAGCCAGTAGGAATTTGCAACCACTCTATCCAATTCTTAAAAATAACCGTTTCATCCTTGTGTTTATTTGTCCAAGTAAAAGGAACATTGGAAGCTTGTAAGGAAATAAGGCCAGCATTGTTTAAGAAATTCACAAACTTTGTCATATAAATATTTCCACTCTAATTTCCACACCATTTTTCCTGAATAATAGTAATACAACTAAAATTACCTAGAACCATCCAGGGTTTATCAACGGGGTTAAGACTTAATCACTCATCCTGCATATTCTCTTGAAGAGACTTCTAGGGATAGACATAAACAAAAGTAGCAAAAAATTCAATGTTCAAGCACACATCCTTGACTAAAGCGTGAACAAAGCTAGAAGAGACATAACGTACAGTAACACTCATCATGCCAATATAGACTCCCCCGGATCTCCTTCGAGGTTACAACAAAAAAAACTGATCAAAACACCTACTAAAACAACTAACAGGGGCCTTTTCCACATCAAATTTAGTTTCAACAAAACAAAAGAAATCTAATTTAGCCAAACTACAAAGATAACTAAAATTACTCTTGAAGTCTGGTCTTCCCATATCCCTGCAGTTGTACACAATTCCCTTCATCAATCTAGCTCATCAAGGTACGCAGATGGTCCAACCTCATTGGCATTCTCCTCTCGGATACTCAGCATTCCCACAGTTGGCCTATCACTTGCTGAAGTTGCTTCAGCCGCAAGCCTTGCAACAACCAAACTTTCAAAGTTCTCCTTAGCCTCAATATCACCACTTCCCACATTTGACATCACAACATCCTGATTATGTTCCAAAATACACATGGCATCAAAGAAATTTATTTTGCCTAACCTAAGATCACTAGCGTAATAAGACTCAAGCTGGGGATTTAAATCAGACAGATCATCAAACACAACATAATCAGGCTAGACCCAATCATTAATGAAATTAACAACTAGTCGAAATTTGAATTTATCAATGCCCCGATAATCTAAAAACCCTACACTTACCTAATGATCACCCTCATTTGCTTTCACAGTTCTCCTTCAGTCCTGCACCAAGTCCGCCTTAGCCACCCACTTTGGCTTCGCGCTGGCAACCACCTCCTTATACAATCTATCCCTTTTTACTCCTCCACCTTGGAATCATCATAGTCCATCCCTCCTCATTCAGGCCCCCATCATCCACTCACGATCTAGATCCCTCAAAATTAGTAAATTCCTCCTCCACAGTTGTAGCATTGGGAAAGCAAAGCATCACATCCTTCTGTAAGTAGGCTTTGACATTCACATCCATAATCACATCCTCCGGGTAGACAAACGGCACATCCTCAAAAACTTTATCAATCATAAAGCAGTCATCATCCGCTTCCACTTCCGGACACACGTCCTTCAATCATTTTTCTTCTGCAATAGAAACAAACCTCAAAAATAATTTCATAGCTAATCAGGATTGGATAATCCTCCTCATGGTTGACAATGAGCACGTGCTTAAGGGGAAAACGCAAATCCACCTTAAACAAAACTTTTACAAACAGGCCATTCAATCCCAGAGTCACTTTATCCACTTTAATTACTCGTCCATTAGGTTGAGTAATATCTTTGATAATCTTTTCCTCTTTATATTGCATTGGGACCCGAGGTAAACGCTCCCACACAACCAACTTGGTAATGACATCAATATCCTTAAAGCTTGTTGTCCACCTTTCAGGATGGAAGATTTGGCCACGTAAGTACCACAACCTATTCTTGATGACAAATTTTAGATCATCTTCATCAGTAAACTTGAGAGCAAACATTTTATGTCGAAGTGATCAAGATAAAAGGTACTCTTCACCTTATTCTTCCATAAGAGTCCCAGCTTCCACTTGATCAAGCGAGCATCAAGTGGTTGACCAAACATCTTCCCCATAAGTACCTTAGAAAGCATATGCTTTACATTGATGGATGAGCAAAGGTGGGTATTAACCCTACTCACACCACGCTCCATAATGAAAGTGCTTATAGCTTTTTCGACAACCACTGGGTCCTGCCCAGGCTAGGGAACAGGAAAAGGGTTTTCCCAACTCGGGATATAACCCTCCAAGAAAATTCTAGGCCTACAGGCATTATTGGAAGAGGAAGCAGCAAGCTGCGGGTTTGTCATTGTGAAAGCACTACGAAAGGAGAGGATCAGAACCAAGGAGTTTTGTGGGGAGAACAAAAGCCCCAAAGGTTGAAATATATAGAGCCACTTAGGGGGAAACCAACCATTAAACCCTACTAACACAATGAAAATAAACAAGCAAAATAAAGCTAAAAGACCTATAACATAGGTCATAATTACTAAAAACCACCAAAACCTGGGAAAGAAATTCGCGTGCAAGACGCTATGACCTAGGCACTCCAAGGTAATTAGTCTAGCTCCAATCAAAATTAATGAGTGAGCTTGGAAAGATCAATTGTCTCCATGGAGAACAGACCCCAAGGGAAGTTAAACCATCCAAACACCCCAAGTAAAGCCAGTAATGATTTAAGATACACTCAAACACTTCAAGTGCGAGGCAACAAGTTATCCAGAGCACAACACACACAGAGTCACCAAAAAGCACAAGCCAAAAAAGCAAAAAGCAAAAACATAGCCAATCACACAGACCAATTAAAAAGTAGAAAACACAACAAACAATACTTAACCAAGTTGAGAAGCCTAAAAACCCTAACAAATCATACCATTTTGCCAAACACCACCGAACCCTTCTAACCCTTGGGAAATGAGAATAAATCAGTTCAAAAGTCTCCTTGGGGTTCTTTCCCCACTCTACTAGTACCCAATTATCAAACCATCCTACCATATTCAAGCTCATGATTAAGTTTTTCCCAATTATCAAACATCCAATTAGGTTTTCTAGGAACTGACCCAACACATAATCATCAAATCTCACCTTACCCCAAAGCCACTCAACTTCCTTCCAATTGATCCCGACCGATGGTGTATCCTAGAGATCAGCACGATAGCGCCCGCGGCGCCTCGCACCCAGAAACCCTAGAGCCCCATAGCAAATTTTAAAACTACTTGAGGGGTTTTTATGACAACACGATAAATCTTATGGGGGTGTAAGTTTAATTAATCCGAAATACTTAAAGTTCAGGTGACGGTTTTCAAGTAGCATGCTGTTGAGGCTTTTAAGTGTTCGACAGACTGACTTTGTTTCATTTTGTTATTCTTACTTTTTTTTTGGTTCTTTTTGTTCTTTTTTTTTTTTTTTTTTTTTTCAAGAGTCCGTGCTAATCATTCCATTATTCAAATCATCCTTATCAGATTACCAATTCTTGCACGTCAGGGTCCATATAATTTGTCCATCTTATAGTAAAAATGATTTCAAGATATCGTCCATTAGAAATAATTATCATGTCAAAGCCATAATAATATTTCTAAAAATCATTAACAATTATTTTGAGTTGAACGTGCAAAATTAGAATCCTTTTTTGATTCAATGGACTCGATTAAACGGATGACAGTGCAAAAACTGGATCCAAACATTTTTTCACACAACTCAATATTCATTTGTACTACAATCATTTTATTTTCACAGAACAAATTTTCAAAGCATAAAAAATATATTTATGAATTGTACTTTTGCACTTTGCTCTTTTCAAAATAATGGAGTAAAACAAAAACAAGTACTATTCAGAGTAACTAGCGAGAGCAAGCTACTTGCCTTTTACCTTGCCTTACCCTTGCGCTCGTTAAACGAATAGACTTGCTCTTATAAGTTTGAAAAAAAAAATCTACAAATACCTTTTATTCAATTGGCATTTATTGGATAGTACTATCCACATATATATTTTTATTTTTCACGCATTTTTCTTATTTTTCGAACGCCATATCGAATAAATTGAAGAAGATCAATAATAAAAAAATAACAAAATTATACAAAACATAAAAAGTTACTGTAGCTTTCAAAAAAATTTCACTAATTCCTCTGCTTGTGTCCGTAAGAACAAATTTTAAAGGTCAGCATGATTTTAGCCCAATCCAAAGTCGTCCTGGCCACCACAATTTTACACGACACGCCTCAGCAGAAAGCCATTCGAGAAGTCTCTGCCATACAAATTGTTAGCGCATTCCTATGATTTCTGAAGCCCTTTTCTCCGTTTCAATCTTCATCATTTGGTTTCGTAGATGAATCTTTGCAGGTTCCGGTGCAGGTGCGTCCATTTTCCCTATACAATAACTGAATCTCATCTTTACTTTTTCAATTTTCTTGTCTTTGCCTCTGTTTGGCTGCCGAGAAAACGCCCAGGAAAATCGAATTCCTTCATTCCTGTAATTTTCCCTTTTCACGCTTTGCCTTAATTCTTATTATCGTCTACTCAATTGGCAGGCTAGTAAATTTAGTGCAACTTTCCCGTCTTGATTTGATTTTCTCATGGTTTAAAATTCTTGCTTTTCCCGTTTTAATTTTCCCTCACTTTCCCAGCAACCAAACGCAGCGCAGATTGAACTTTTCTATTCAGTAGATGTCAAATCCTATCGGGAAGATCGAGTGTGGAGTGCATATAGCAGCGAACCAATATGGGTTATATGCAAAAAGTGCTAAACTGTTTTCCTCAAAACCCCAAAAGTATAAGTGCTAAAATAGTTCTGTGTGGTTGAATTGGGTTTGTGTTTTTATGCAGAAACATTGCAGGTGTGCGAATTTTTGTTGATAAACCTTTGCAAATTCGTTGACGGCTCGAATTGAATATATGCTACAACCCTGACCAAAATGAACCTGGGTTTTCTTGGTAATCTCCCTTGGTTTAGGGCCCAATCAAACAGCGATTTGGAATTGGAACCAACTCTTAATCCAACAACAACCCTTTTCGAGCAACCTAACCAAAAGGGTGGTTTTGATGTCAAGTTGTTGGGATTGTCCCTTCTTTCCTTTGTTCCATGGGTGGCGGACAATTCTAAAGATAAGATTCGAACTCCATCCACTATTAACCGCGGCTTAAGAAGGCGTGCACAGCCTCGCAGGGTGTTTGAGAATGGGGATCCCAGTACGTCTTTGCGATTTAGGCCATATGTTTCTAGGGTTCCGTGGCATACTGGCGTAAGAGGTTTTCTCTCTCAGCTATTTCCGAGATATGGGCATTATTGTGGACCTAATTGGTCAAGTGGGAAAGATGGAGGATCTCCTATTTGGGACAAGCGGCCAATTGATTGGTTGGATTTTTGTTGCTACTGCCATGACATTGGTTATGACAGTCACGATCAGGCTGATCTGCTGAAGGCTGATTTAGCTTTTCTGGACTGCCTTGAGAGGCCAAATATGAGTACTAAAGGAGATGCCCGCATTGCTCACCTTTACAAGACAATGTGCACCACAGGTATGCATTTGCCTTGGCTTTTTTAAAAAGTCATATTTGGCTTGGTGTATATTTCTCATATATACACGCATTGTTAATGGAGATTGATCTGTAGTGTTTGTTCTGTTTTTTGTGCCGACATGAACGGCAGGTCTCAGGAATTTACTTATTCCGTACAGAAGTCATCTTTTGAAGCTGCAAGCAGGACAACCTTTGATTCAATTTGGATGGCTAAGCAATGTTAGATGGAGAGTTTGGAAATTTCAGAAAACTTGAAAGGGGTCATGAGTTTTGAGAAGTGGTAACCAACAGTACTCAACTTCTCCGCATTGAAACAGGTGGTCTTATTAAGTACCTTATCTCTGTTGATGCTTTTCTGTGTTCCCGGTGGAAAATAGCAATGTTGGGTCTTATTGGCTTTCATCCATGATGGATTTTATGTATATAACTTTGTTGAGACTTTTGGTGGTGCTTGTCTATCATCCATTAGAAGTCTCATATTCCTTACCTTAACTCTACTAATTGGGTTGTGTCCATAAGTAATGAACAAGGCATGTTTCCTCTCTTTTATTTCTTTTTCTTTTTTTCAGTAAGATGATCATTAATCATCATATTCTACTTTGATCCCGATTCTCGTAGGCTCATTTAGGGCTGGAAATTTTTTCTAAAAATCGCGAACCAAACCAAAAAATTCCCGATTCCATACCAAAAAAATCCCAAACCGATAATACCGAAATTTCGGGATTCCATCCCGAACGATTCGGTACAGGATTCGGGATTACATATTCATTCCTTCGGTAACCCTGTTATATACTATTTAATTTTAAATATATATTTAGAATTATAACTGTCGAAGATTTGGTTGAGATTTAATCTCAACCATTGAATCCAAATGAAACCCTTGCTCTCTTTCACCTGACTCAGGAGTGAATGGCAAAGTCCTGGGAAGAAAGAGGACTAAGGAGGAAGCATGGGGTGATAAGAAGCCAGCTGCAAAGTATGGGAGGTGTTAGTGAGCTCTGTTGGAGTTTTGTTGTTTGTTTGAATATGTTTTTGGTTTAGCTTTTGCTTTTGGTGGGTTTCAAGAAAAGGAGAGGAGACAGGAAACGTATGCAGAAAGAAAGGGGAATAAAGGAATTAGGTTTAGTTTTGCTTTTGATTTAGTTTAGTCCTGTAACCTCTCGGATCCCTCGCGATTTGCCTTCTTGTTCTGCTTCTGCTTCTGCTTGCATCAGACCCCATCTTTCCTTCTTGGTCAACGTCTGCGTTCTTCTACCTCAATTTTCTGCTTCTGAAAAAAAGCCCTTTCTGAGCTTGCAGTGTGTTCAATTTCGTCAAACTTTGCCATTCTGGAATTTGAATTTTCTGCAATTGGTATAAAATCCCTGGGCTTATACAAATTAAGAATTTTCTGGGTGGTTTGTACAAATCCCGAACTATTCCGAAATCCCAAAATTTTTCGAGAATCCCGAAATTTTGATTCGATTTCGGATTTTAGAATGCCGTCCCAAAAATTATTTGTTTGGGTTTCAGTATGGGATCCCATCCCAAACCATCCCTACGCTCATCTAAAATGTTACATCTTCTTTGATGAAGCATCATTTAATATTTTCGCTATTTTCTTCGGTAGAGTACGAAGATATGAAGCTAGACCTTTTCTGCACGAGTTATATGATGCCACTATTTATCTATTTGTCCTTTCTTGTCTAATTTTTCAGCATCCTACTTAAATATAGTGGTTGTTACCCTAAAGTTCATTAATCTCAAGGATATAGTTTTCAAAGAATTTCAGGAAGTGTAAAAAAAGTGCATGTAAAAGAAGTCGGCCATTGAGCCCATAGAGAAATTTCACTTACCAAAAACCAAGTCGGGCAAGTCTTATTCAATCCATCCAAATGAATAGTATTGACTGCAATGAATAATAATTGTCCAAATGCATCATCACTCCTAAAATGAACAGCCTAGTCAATTCGTATTAAAATATCATTAATTTTTTTTTATAAATAAGAAAATAATAATTTTATTTTTAATTTCAGATAGGATTTTTAACCAATCTTGTCACTCCAAGTGTAATTATCTGAAAGTACAATTTTTGTGGAAGATGGTGAGGCATTTATATAAAAAAATTAAAAAAAAATTCATTTTATTTTTTCTATATTTTTAAACAATTTTTTATTAAGTTAATTAATTTGAACAGGTGGATTTCAAAAAGGTTGAAATCCAATATCCCAAAAGTGGACATGTGGCCGAGCCAACTAATTGGATGGGGTGGAGTGGATTTTTGGGGGGTTAGGGGGAAAAATGGGCTATTGCCTAACTCATTTGTTAGGGGTGGACTTGCTCTTAAGGTAATAGCAATGCATGTAAAAGAAGTTAGCCAAACAAGTATGTTATGCATTCATAATGTTGGATCTTGATGTAGATAGTCTGTTATGTATTCGTAACGTTGGATCTTGATGTATGCACAACAAAATCAGTTTTTTTTTTAAAGCACAGCCATACCAAACTAGCTCTATGTCTTTCGATTGCTTCTAAAGAGACAAAATGCATTATGGATCTTGAGCTCACCATCAAGCTCGAATTTTTTGAGCTTGCTTGAGCTCGTCTCGTATAAGAAACAAGTCAAGCCAAGCTCGAGCTCAAATATAGTTAAACAATCCAAACTTAATCACAATGACATTTTGTTCGGCTCAACAAATTTACTTTTGAACCAAAAATATAAAAATAACAGTACCCAAAAAACAAATGAAGATACGACTACTTCTGAAGGTGATTGCCTCGCCCTCTCTCCGCCACCACCGCATTTCCACCTCGCCTCCCACCAAAGTCTCTTCTTCATTTCCCTTCTCCGCCACTTCGCCTTTCCTCCCTTAACTCCCACCAAAGCTCTTCTACATACATGTTCAGTCACACCTACTTAGAACGTCTCCGATGATTTGGCTACATTTTGCCACCATTCTTAAATATAGCAACTAAAAATATAATTTAAAAAAAAAAAAAAAAAAATTGTGCAGGCTATAATTTTTTATCCCCAACGGTGCGGGAGCAATATTTATTTCTCTTAATATTTTATTATTTTTTAACTTATTAAAAAATATTATAGTACAACACTCACGCATTTAACTATGATATATTGATTTGAATTAATAAATTTTTTATTTATAACTCTAGTTAAAGTTATTAAAGTTTTTTTATGGAATCAAAATTGAACACTAAGTATTGATGCTAACTAAATAAGCACACAAATTAAAACCCTCTTGTGACAATTGTAGTATAAGTATAAGTAGGGATCGTTTTTAACCGGGGATTAGGAGGGATTGCAAAATCACTTGGAAACTAACTCAAAAATGTAAAATAAAGTTTAAAACACTAAACTAGACTCAAAGAATGCAAAACTAAACACTTAAAACACTAAAACAAACTAAAAGACTCAAATAGCACCCAAAACACTCAAAACTGCCTTAAAAACACTTTCTGGGGAGTTTTGAGCACTTTGACTACTTTGGACGAAATTGGGTAATAAAATGAATCAAAACACTTAGAAACACAAACTAAGACACTTTCTAACTAAGTTGGACACTAAAGCAAAGGGGGATTGAGTTTTTGACGAATTTGAAAACAAAACTTAAAACTTTGTAAAACGAACAGATTTTAAAACGAATTTGGATTTAATGAATGGAATGGAAGCTAGCTAAGGGGTTCATCTCCACACATGTCATACTTGCACACAAAACGATTTCTAATTGCTTTTCAATAACCCATGAATTCTCAACGCCCCAGATTAACCGTGAATTGCACTAATTAACCCTCAAATTTTCCTAACGTTATTGAATTGGATGATTGCATACAACAACCCAAAGCATTCCCCACAAGTTCCCTACATGAATTGCATAATAGAGATACAAGCAAGAATCATTAAGTTCTTTGAAAACCATAAGCATTGACGAAGCACTCGTTACTATGAATTGCATGAAACTTATGCCAAGAATTTACTTAACGCAATTGAGGTCATCAACTTTTACTACTTGTGAATATAAGTTTGTAACGATTAGGTGAAATTTCCTTATATCCTAGCATTAGATTTACGCATGATAATTAAGCGTGCACTCTCAACCAACACACACAAATCAGTTTAATTCAAATAGATAAGTAAATTGAATTCACAACTTATGAAACGCAATTAGAGGTAATCAAATCATATAGCAAACATGATCATGGTTTCGAATCCCCCCTAGCCAAGGGGGGTTTAGTTCCTCATACGTACAAGACAAAAATAAGTAAATTTAACCATTGAAATCAAGGAGAGGAAAACACCTAAAAATTCCAACAACTCAAACTTGAATTGTATGAACGTTTAAGCCCTCTTCTCCTCCTCTTTGTTGCGGCATAAGGGTTTGTTGTGAATTTTGGGGGTTATGGATGGTGTAGAATGATGTGTTTAGGATAGGGATGGATGTAGGGGATGGCAAGGCTTATTTTTGGGCAGAAAATATGAAGAATGGTGAAGTATGGATGTGTTATAGAGAGGGGATGAATTTCTGGCGTGAATGGTGAATGAATGAATGGTTTGTGGCTGCAATAAGGATGTTTATTTATAGGTGGCTGAATGATTAAAGAGGGAATGCATGTGGAATGACAGCTAGGGAGTGAATGATTAAAGAGGGAATGCATGTGGAAGTGTGGCTGATTGTTTAAAGAGGGAATGCATGTGGAATGACAGCTAGGGAGTGAATGATTAAAGAGGGAATGCATGTGGAAGTGTGGCTGATTGTTTTATGAAGGGGGAAAGCTGGAAATGGTGTTAAAATGGGCTAGGCCCTTTGTTTTATGTCCTAAAGTGCATACAAGGCCTTCAATTTCGTCCAACACTTTGGCTCCAAGCATAAGCTATCCATCCTTAGCCCAAAAGTGCTCCAAAAGGCTCCAAAATGCACTTCTTTGCTCCTTTAGCCCTTAGAACCTGAAAACATACGAAAATAACTTAAAAGACTTAAAGAACTAAGAAATAACAACGTAAATGCACAAGAACAAGCCAACTAAGTTGCCTAAATATGCTCCTATCAAATTCCCCCATACTTAGCTTTTGCTAGTCCTCGAGCAAAACAAAACAACAAAAGAACACGAAACTAGACAAAACGAACAAAACACAACCTACACCTTCCAACGTTGCCTCAGGGATTTCCAATGCACATGACATGTTAAAAATTCATTATCTCCACAGATTTTAGTCATCTTCACACTTAAGTACATTCTTAATCATAGTCACCACATACTAGTTCACAATTAAGCATTTAAAACCATGTTTTGAATGTAGTAACATGCCTTAGAGAATTTGCTCAATTCCTTACAAGATATGCACTCAATTTTCACTCAGATTTTCTAACTACACACCTTAATCTAGTTATATGTGAGAAGATTAATGTAAACATGAAAACGAACACTCGCATATATATATATATATATATATCACAAAGAAAGCAATTTTTGGAGTTAATAAGCATGTTTAGATATGATCTCATGAATGGAATGCTACGACTTAGATGCAAGAACCAGTGACACTATATGCTCAT